GCCCAGAAGGAGCTCCAACGCAAAAAGTGTCAACGTTATATTTTCTCGAATTTTCCAAGATTTTTCGTGGCATTTTATTTCTCCTCCGTTCTCACTGCCCCCCCACCCATTCCCCTATTCCTCCATTTATGTATGTATGTTGGATTGCTGCGACGCAAGTGGAAAACGCAATTTCATTAGACAAATTGAAAAAAATAAGTGCAAGCGTACACAACAATACCAACACTTCTCTCTGTATGTATGGTGCGAGAGGTTCCCTATATACAGACATTACACATATATGTATATGGAGAGATATATGTGTGATGTATCCCATGTATTCGACGAAAGAAGAGTGACGCCATGTTGTGGCCAAAAGCTGAAGAAGATTTTCGCTGCTGGTCGTTCGCCATTCGCTGCGATTAGTGTTAGTGTTTTTTCCCCACACAATTTCCCTGACGCGCGCATACGTGTAGGAGCTGGCAGGGATACGGATACACATAAACGTATATGGGAAGTGCCGTCCAACGGCGGAGCAGCCTTGTCCTTGTCCAACAGGATGCTGCGCGCGCGTTGAAAAGAGGCGGAGACTCTCTGCCCAACCAGCAACACTTGAGGCAAGCGAGGCGCCAAGCGGCAAGCAGCAAGCGGCACGGCAACAAAAAGAAGCAAAGATGCAACCGTTAGCTGCCTCTTCCTTATCAAACGATTCGGGCTCGCACATTCGCTTTCCCGGCTTCGCTTCGCTTCGCTTTTTCCCCCAAAAAACGATGCGTCGTTGCTGATTGGAAGCTTCGGCGCTTGCTTCTCGTTTTTGGGGCGGAGCAAAAGCTCTCTACTCGACTCGACTCGACGCAGTGGCGCCGCCAAACGGGGGAGCATATTCCACTGAATGGGGGGGGAGGGAGTTCGTTTGTTTTATTTCGCTCTGATGCTCTACAAAACATCCACTTCCCGGGCGGCTGCTATCATGCCCACAAAACCCTCCGTCACCTCTCGGGCCACTGGAATAATGTCCTCGGGCGGCAGGACAAAGCCGAGCTCTCCCTTGTCCCTCAGTTCAATTGTGTAGGGTATGGTGATGTTCTTCACCGCATAGGCCCACTCCTTGCCCGATCCAGAGACTTGGTCTGAGAAAAGAAGATAAATATAATGGGGACATACAAATGGGGACAAGATCAGGCAACACACATAAGGTTGTGGCACTAGAACCGTAGGTAAACTCCGTGCCATATCTTCTGTAGAGTGCATCCGAGAAGCCCTTGGCCACATGCATCATCTGGGGATAGTGCTCCGGGAATTCCGTATCGGTGTGGCCCCAAGGCGAGAGCACATACTGTCCGTAGGAGTGCAGGGATATGTAGATCTTGATGGTCCCCTCTGGTATGGAGTTATTGATGTACGCCGTCAGTTGGCTGATCTCTGGATCGGATTCGGCGGATGGTCCGGCATAGGTCTGTGTGCAGGGATCGTCACTAGCGCCAGTCACTGCCGATACAAAGAGAAGCTATAGATTGTCTCTGGTGGATCAGTAAAGGTGCATATCTATAGAATACTGACACATCCAGAGGAAATCAAAGTTGCGATTCAGATCGGTGCCAATACACTCGCCCGCTGGATCGGAGGGCATGCGAGACTTGCGCCAAAGTCGTTCCTACCGGGCAATCGATCAGAGAGTTTGTAGATAAAGCATTATTAACCGTAATTGATTGCCACTTAGAGTAGTTGACGATAAGATTGGTGGGCATCGTAAACGAATCGGCACGTCTGTGAACCGATGGGAAATCTAATCGCAGCGTCAACTACCAACTACCAACCACTCAACACTCCCCCACCCGCTCACCACGTCATGCGAGTACACAAACCCATCCACATTCAGGACGGGTATGATGTACCAGTCCACATTGTAGGCTATATCCCTGACCCCAGGATTACGGGGCACCAGCAGCTCATCGATGAAGTAGGTGATCGTCGCCGAGGTAATCCACTCGCGGGCATGGATATTCGATTCAATGAAAACCGCTGGATTTCCCTTCTGATACGAGATCTTCACACCACGAATGGGCCTGCCCTCGTAGGAGTTTCCTATGGTGAATGGTGTGACAATATCCGGATAACGCGACTCGATCAGATCCAGCCAGGCATAGATTTCGTCCAGGTTGTGGAACTGTGTCCACTCGTGGTAGCCAGTGCGCTGCCTGGACCTTTGGGCATCGATGTGACGCTGAACATTGTCGATCTTCAGGCTGTAGTTGAAGTTGTGCTTCAGAAGGAGGCTCTCGAAGGCCTCCTCGTACTCGGGGGCCAGCATAATGTCCGAGGACTCGCCCAAATGTCTCGCCTCCCGCCAACTGCTAAGCTAAAGACTGGACTGTCAGAGGGTAATTTCAGGCTATGATTGGTTTTCCCATACCTTCAAGATTTTCTCCTGGGCATTGAGCAGGTTGAACTGCTGCCGATCATCGATCTTCACATTGTAGACCTTGTAGTTGTCGTAGCGCACTTGCTCGACAGCCGAAACGAGGCCAAAGAGTGCCAAGAACAGGAGTCTTTTAACCAACATACCTCTCTATCGGAGAGTCAACTGTGAACTGGGCCCAAGCCGCGTAATTGCTGGCTGATTAGCCGCTTCTTATCGCTCTGGTGTGACTGCCCATGGAGCTCATTGACTAGCTTGCCTCTGAATTCCGTTTCTTTTGGTTTTTATCAGCCATGGTCGTAAAAACTATTCTTAAGTTAAGGGAACGGGTAGATGACTTCAAACGGACAACTTCAACATGTCTGGGCAAACCGAGGGTAAACCACTTCCAGAGCTGGTGCTGGTGCTGTGACTGGGGCTCTTACTGGTACTCTATCCGTACTTAGGCTGTCTCTCAACTTTGCACATAAATTTTGTGCAACGCCAGCGCCCATTTCATTGTAGGTCATTGCATAATGAAGTTACCGCCCCGAGGCACATAAATTTCCCTCGAACTCGAGGGCTGTCTGCTGTCTGCCGCTCTGCTGTGTGTCTTCTGTGCCTTCTGTCTAGTGTCTTCTGTTTGACTTTGGCGGTGTGCTTAGTGCGAACATTTTGTTTAGGCCTGTTTTATGCCCCCTCCTTGTAAGTCCGTGTTCTGTGTCCTGTGGCGAGCCCTTAAAGGAGCTTTGTGCCTGGGCTTTGGTCATATTTTGCGCGGGTATTACAGTAACATGCCGTGGTCGTTGTCACCGCATGAGGTGCGTCAATGTGTGCCTTATGGCCAGGACTTCACTTCATTATTTAGGTAGTGTGAGGTTTCTGTAAGTTTCCCCGAGTTCTGGACATGAAAGGCGCATCAAAGTGGATTTCGCTCGCCATGAACACGGGGAATGACATGACTGTGGGGTTTTGGTGGTGGGGTTTTGGTGGTGGGGTTTTGGTGGAAATATTTCGCAAAAATGTTAATGTTCTGTTGAAATATTGGTGGAAAATGCAAAACTAACACACAAAAAGAAACATTCAATCTGTTGGGGAAAAGGTTTAACAGGCACATTAATTCAGGCGATTTACCACCACTTTGAAAGCCACTGAGCTTTGGATATTTTATAGGTTGTTTTTCCTAGAAGGTTGCATAAGTGTTTCATGAGCCAATAATTCTGTAATTGCAGTGGAAATCCCATAAACTGAGAAGCTGCGGAGTATCTAAAACATAAAGTGATTTTTGGATTAGATTAGATTTTGAAACCATTTATTGTCAGTCGAAGCATGCTCTGCTGACTGCCTGCATCTATACGGCACTTGGTCTGCTGGCCCTGCGCTTTCCCCCCCGGAAGTACCTGGGCAGAGCGCCCGGTTGCTGCTTTGGTAACAGTGTCCAGAGCGCGTTGAAATTGCGACAAAACGCCGGTCGTGCTGCGATCGCGTTTTGGATGTTCACAATGCAGTTGCTCTCTGGCTTGGTGGTGCACCTAATGCTGTGCTACACCCTGCAGCGGCCCCGCTTCCAGCGTGAGGTGCGCTGGCGCTTCGTCTTGGGGAGAGGCGGTGGTGTTGCTGCTGCTCAGCGGACTGGTTTCAACAATTAGCAGCGGATTATTTGATTAGCCTGCTAATTGCCTGTTCGTCCTTCCGCACCATATAAATTTGTTCAACACTTATTCTCTTATCAGCAGCAATAAAGGACCCAAGCAGGATTAAAGCTCTCCCTCCCCACTCTCCCACTAGCAGTCTATAATTCTCTCTTTCTCTCTCTCTCCCCGTGGATTACACAGCCTGTGGCGAAAACTTCCGCGGAAACTTTCAACACCTTGCCGTGGGTCTTGGGGCGTGGAAATTGTGGGAGAAAACTTTTTAACCAGCAAAGAAGGAACGGAACGAAGGAAACCACCAGAGCCAACACTTGTCCTGGCGCGTGCGATAAGCCAACGCCGCATTTTTAATTGCCAAAGTCCTTGAATGCCTTGGAGCCGTGTCGAGGGAATCGCTTAAAGCAAACCAGCCCAACCCAGCCCAGCTCAAGGATGGCTGTCAGCAGTCTTTAAAGTGTCATAAATATCACCAGGCAAACATTTCCGGCCCCACAACTTTTTGTTAGACACTTTTAATTGTGTATAGCAGCAGGTTCTCCTGCCTGTGACTAAAATGAAAAAAATAAGGCTGCCATAACATAAATCTTGGCTCTTGAGGCCGGGAGCACATGTCGTATGCTTAATATTTTCCACTCAACTCAACTCAACGGCTGGAAAAAATGTCAATGCCGGAAAGTGTTTAGCATTCGCTTTTTTCTTGCGCCGCCGTGGATTTAATTAGCCTCAAAATGTCTCGCGGAAAATGGCAACATGGCATGCCACATGGCCGCCGCCGCCCAGTCGAGGGTCACAGGATAAGCCAAGGAAGTCACCAAGTCAAGGAAGGAAGTTGCATGTTCGGCCTCAAGTTCAATTTGCTATTGCTTCCAGCAACATTTTTGGACAGCCAAAAATAGGAGAGGGAGTTGCCTTCCAGCTGCAGGAGAGTGCATTTCCAGGGCTTACTTATTGTATTTTAATCTGAAACTTACCCATGGAAGATGCATGTTCTTTGGCCATTCCATCCTCCCTGCTGAATCGCTGATTGTTATCATCATAATTATCCCCCGCCTAGAGCGGGTCTATTGTTAATTTGACTTCATTTCCAGGTGGAACATTCCATACACAATTGCAGCAAAGTGGTTCGTTCTTCCATGCGTCCGACACGCCCCACTGGATCGGCAATTACGCAGGCAGGCAGGCAGGCATACTCGTAATTAATGTGGTAGAGTGGAGGGGAGGGGAGGCCTTTCAATCTAATTGTTGAACGGGGCACACACGCACGTGTGATACGATCCATTCGATTCGATCTTTAGATCTTCAACAAGTGACACTTGTGCACCTTGGGGCAACTTGGGCGTGGCACATGCCAAAAATTATTCCGTGTTCAGTAAGCGATTATTTTTTCAGTTGAGCATTTCTGGCCTCGATTGTTTTCACTTCTGTGCGTGTGTTTGCTTTTTTGAAGCGTCGTCGCTGGCAGCTATTTATTGTTAAATGAAGCGATTTGTTTGTTGTCGTTATGCGTCGGAGCGTTAAAACATTTTCGCTTTATTTTTTCTACTCTCGGAAATTTGTTTTTGCATTGCCGCAGAACGTGGGGCTATACGGGGGGAGTACGAGCAGTGTTCTGGCAGTGTACGGGGTATAGCCTCAGGTTCAAGTGGTTGGGATTTTTTGGCACATCGTTTGGTGGATCAGGTGGTATGGCTGGCATCGGTGGTGTGTGGGGGTGACTGCGTTCTAAACGCTGCTGTGGATGTGTGAATTCCAAACAAGCGACGGCAGCTGTTGAACATCCAAGAAAAGAAAGAGAAAGGGAAATTTGTTAGAGAAATGCCAAAAAAAAATGTGTTGAGGTGGTTGGGAGGTTGTTTAAGGGAATTGTTAAATTTTGCTAGAACTAAAGAGTTATGAGAATCGCATGAAAGTTTACTTGACAAACATTAATCATACGGATAGACGTCCTTTGTTAATGCATTCCCACATCATTGACTTGATTCCACCTTGACATTCTTTTACCTAGAAAGCACAGGGAACCCACATCAAAGATCTCAGACATGCTAACTAAGCCCTTCAGCACTCGCATACCCGCACACTCGCATATGCCTCGTACGCAAATGCCACCGTGGGCGTTTGTCTCCGCCTAATCCGCTTTTAAAGTAAGTGAACAAAAAAAGTCGAAAAAAATAAAACCGAAAACCGGAAATCACAAGTCAAGTTGATGAACTGTCGCTCTGGCTACGTTGTCGTCCTCGTCTGAAATCGGGCAGACACACGGAGAGGAACGGAGGAACACACACACAAAAGACATGGATGGCACCTGCAAAAAAAAAGATGTGGAAAAAAAAAACCAAACTTTGCAGACACATTTACTAGGCCCCCAATCCCCATTGGTCTCCACCTTTCGCTGTTAGAGATTTACGCATTTATTTTGCATTTTTTATATGCCACACAAAACATGCGCTCAGATTTAAGGAAATATCACTGAAGAGACGGAGACGGAGACAGAGCCAGAAACCAAAAGGTTTCACAACGAGTTGAGTTGGTTAGAAACATTTTTCGGTTCGGTTGTCGATTTGCCTTGCGTTGACATGACAAAAGGCGCAGATCTGCATACATTTGCATGTCATTGGACGGGCAGGGCTGGGCAGGGAAGGGCAGGACAGGGAGGGGCAGGCTAGTGGAACGCATCATCAGGCAAGGACACCGAAATCCCCTTAAGACATTGGGGATTGGTCCAAAACATGCCGTTTGCCCACGTTAACAATATGTTAAGTTGCCTTAAGTCAGCCCCCAGCTTCAGTTACCAGTTCCCGGTTCCCGTTTCCCAGATCCAGCTCCAACCTCGGACGCAACGAGTTAATCGCTTAATGTCTCCCCCAGCCTTTGCCTTTCAGTCATTTGTCAGCTGTCTGTTCGGTGGGCTGCTGGAGTGGGGTTTTGGGTGGGATGGAAGCCAAGCCATAATTGCAATTTGTTTGAATTAACTGGTGAGATCTACGAGCAACGCAATTGACAGGCCGGGCCAGGCCTCCAAAGAGCAATAGTCACCACTTGAAATTCCCAAATTTATTGCCTTGCAAATTGCTTTCGTTCGGTCAGCACTCGAGGCTAATGTCCTCTCACTATCGAGTGACCAGAGCGACCTGCTCTGTCCACCCTCCCGAAAAGGTACAAGTAATAAATATCAAAAGCACCCTAGAGGCAAATATTTACTTTAAAATTGAAACCCCCAACCCCGTCCTGCCCTTTCTCCCACTGTTTGTTCAAGCTGCGTAAGTGCGTGAAAGGGTTGCCACGAATGTGGGAAAAAAAAGAATCCTTTAATGGCCTCGCTTTTTGATGTTTCCTGAGCCAAGGCGAGCAGAGCCGTGGGTGTTGGCAGGCACCCAGGCAATTGGCCAACTCCGCTCCCCTCTATCAACACACACATACACACGCACACACTCCACTTCCGACCATTCCTCTACTCGTTCGAGTATCTTAGCCTTTAGCCTTATTGATAGATAAAAACAGAAACGAACCTTACATTCTTTGCTGAAATTCAATTTGAAGCTATTTTCAGAATTTTTATTGCTTACTAAATTGTTTTTATAGGCTCTTCAAACAACTAGCAAAAGAGCATACCTCACCTCACCCCACCTCTTCTATACTCCAGCGGGGGGGCTGGCACTTTAATTTCTTTATTTCCACTGTCTGTTCTTTTCAGTTATTCTTTTTTTTCTACTGTTTCGGTTTCGGTTCGGTCTGTTGTATCTGCCTGCCACCATGGCTCTTCTAGCTGTGGCAATTGCCAGACCATAAAAATTAACAATTAACAGACCGCTGGAAATGAACAATTGCAAATCGCGGCTTACAAAATAGCCGTGGAAATGCCATGATATATGTAGAACTGGTAGAAAAAAAAATAGCGTGTTACAGTGGGGGGAAAATGGTGCAGAAAGTGAAAATATGGACTATGGAATACTCTGCTTACAGAAGGCACAGCACTGACTAAATGGATATCGAAGCTTTAAGAGCGTGGAAATTGTGGATTTCAAAAATTTATATTTGCGCGCCTCTGAGGATCTTTGCTAATCCTGCTTAGACATTCTCATCTTGTTCTACTTCTCCCACCTTTTCATAGAGCTAATCTACCCTTTCACAGTACTCTATGTAGAGCATAATTATGAGACGGAAGACTGCCAGCGTTGCCGGCGTTGTCGACCAGTGGACAGCACACCGACAAAAAGGGTTATGAATGTGAAATTGTCATGCAAGAATTAGCCATGTTCTATGTTCTGGCCACGTTACGAGTATTTCGTTACATTTTATATTTATTTTTTCTTCCATTTTCCCTTTCTTTTAGTTGTTGTTTGTTTGTTCTTATTTGCCTTTTCGTTGGTTTTGTGGCTAACCGTCACGTCAGGGGGTTTTTTATGGCTCCATTCGGAATGGAATGTCGGCAATTATTTCCGAAATGCTGGAAAAACATTGCTAAATGTTTGCCTGACGCTCAGGAAACGTAAACATTTAGTGTAGTCGGTGTAGGTGCTCCTGATTTTCCCTATCCGCCATCCCCATTCCCATCCACTATTCCCTATTCTGGAGAGAGGGCTGGGTCTCACTCCTTCGCCTCATATGCATTCATAACTAACACGATGGAAAATGCATTTTAATGTGCGCAAAAATCCAATTTAAATTCAGAGCATTTTCCCTTCTCGCTTGCAGCTTCACAGACGCAGCATGCAATCACAAAATTAGTTGACGACGAGATAAGAATTTTAGTGCTCACAAATACAGAGACACACACACACATCTATACATGCATATATACTGGTCTGGCCCAAGTAGTATAATGCGTATAAATCAACGAAATATATGGAAGTTTTTGGGATGAGAAAGCAGCAAGAGCAGCACCAGCAGCTGCAAACAAATTCCAAATAATTCCTGTGAGCGACGTGGAAAATTCATTTGACAAAATGCACAAAAAAGCAATTTCAAGCTGCAGACAAATTGAAAATATGTATATGTAAGGAGCAGGTGGGTGGGAACAAGTGCGGCTAGTGGTGGGACGGTGGTTTGAGGGTGTGGATGGTTCGTAGGGGCGTGGTACTGCAGTGACAGTTGAGTAAATAAATATACATAGCCCCACACATACACACACACAAACACATACAAGCACACAGAGGAGACCGACTCTACTCGTCTATGTACGAAGATGCAGCCACCACCTAAAAGTATGCTACGAAAATAGTCGAAGCTGCTGCTGCGCTGCTTCTTCCGCTGCCACTTCTGCCCTCCCTCCCACCCACAACCGTATGTGAGTGGCGCCTACAATTGTGTGTCTGTAGATGTGTTTGCCTGAGCTTTTCTGCTGTGTGCCATTGTGTGTGTGTTGCGCTTTGCCATTCGCGCGTTGAAAATAGGAGGAGCTGAGAAAAACTTTCCATGCGCAGTTCAAAGTGCAAAAAAAACAGATAAAAATTGGCGAAAAATGTATGGGCAAAATGCCTTAAAAATATTTTAAAATTTGTACCAAAAATTGTTTAATACTTTGTATTTAATTTATATGTATATCCAGCGGAAAATCTTTTCCTTCTCTCTAACTAAGAACTCATGATAATAGATGAGCTCTTCCCTTGTTCTGCAAACCAAAAACTACAAAACTTCATGTATTTTTAGAGGATTTTTTGGATACCTCATTTAATATGTGTACAACTTTTTTCCAACATCAAATTTAAAGCTGTTTCATCCTATGTGAAATTCGGCGAACCCTTTCTTTGTTTAGTCAACCTTTTTTCCATCTAATGTGGAAAAGGCGGATCGCTTTGCTTGTCATTTGGTTGGGTTTCCCTCGTCCTCCTCCTCCTCCTTGGGGCACGGCAACCCCCATGGCATAATAGTCAAGTTCTCGTAGAACATGTAACCAAGTTTGGGTTGTCGCTTGGCTAGCACTTCCCGCTGTGATATATATCTCTGACTATTAGCACAGCAGTCAGGCGGCTGTGGCTGTGGGCCAGCGGCAGCAGCATTCGAAGGCCCAACAGGCCGTTTAGCGCCATCAAACAATTCCCGCTGGCTCAGCGGCATTCACGCGTGCGCAAACGGGTTCCACAGGCATCAGAGATGAGAGATGCCAGAGGAGCCTGAGGATCTCGAATGGATGGCAGCTGAGAGGAGCGAGCACCCAACCAACAACAATCAGTCGATTGTCACAGATATTTGTCATGTTTCTGTGGCTGAACTGAAACTGAACTTTCCCTGCTGTTCTCGCTTGGCGTACGGCCCCGAACGAAGCGACCGACGTTCCTTGGCTACAACGTTGTAAAAATGTCAATTGCATTTTCTACCTTTTTCCACCTTTTTCGTTTATT